TTTGGAGCATTACTGGTAATTCTCCATTGAAGAGTTTCATTGCAAAGCTTCTTTTAACCTGGTCTTCTATACTTGTAGAGTTTTAAATATATAATACAGTATATTAACTATAATTTATAAAATACATTATTTAGATGGCAATTCACTTGAAAACAATAGATAACATGGAATAACAAAAGATCCTAAAGCTAATAAATATATGATAGCTTTAAAATATATTCCTGATGAAAATTTTATAGATTATTTAAAAAACCATTTCGATGATATTAATTGAATTATAAAATATTATATTTAAGAATAATGGTACAAATTTTTGGTTCTTTTCACACTTTAGATATGTCACATGGGGATTTCCATCCTGGAAATATTTTATCATTTGATTTTAAAGAGGATCTTTCAAGTATTTAAGGTTGGGCAAATTTTAGAAAATTCTAATAAGAGAAATATCTTAGTTATATTGCCCTATATCTCTCCAAAAGTTTTATTTGAAGAATATATATGTAAAGGCTTCTGATATACATTCTATTCAAATTAGAGCTCATGAGTTTATTACTAGGTTTGCACCATATTATTATGTGCCAAGATTGATAGAGATCTAGCTGGAAAAGTATGTAATAAATTATGAGCAAACTATGTAACTCAAAGGATTTCATTAATGATTTTATAAATGGACAAGTGGAAATGAAAAAAAACTATTTGGTGCTATATATGCACAACTAGTGTAATCATTTTTCTATAAATTCAAAACTTATACAGATATGAAAATAAAAATTTAGGAAGTAAGTCAAGAAGAGCATGTGATTTCTAAAGAAAATTCAATGATTATATTTGTATTTCTAGTGAAAATTAAAGAATAAGTGACATATAAATATTTATTTTTTAATTAAATAAAAAGAAATTCATATAAAGATAAAAGACCTTCTTCAAAAGAAATAAGTTCTTCATAGTGATTTATTAAATTAACTATAATCAAATGCAAATACCTAATTGGCTTACTTAAGTTGCAACTTAATATCATTAATTTATTTAATAATTAATTTATTGTGGTTTTCAAATTAGTGTAATAATGTAAAAATCTGAAATTATTTAATTGATAGGTATTCAAATACCTTATCAAAATTTTAGCCAATAAAAATTGATATTCTCTCAAATTATCATGCGTTATAAATTTATATGAAATTATATTTGCTGAAATTTGGGAATCAGTCATGTGTTATTTTTGATAAGGTATTCAAATTATACTTGCATATAAAATTATTTTGAGGTTTCAAAATTGTAATTTTGTAAAAAAAATTTCATCGAAGACAAAATTATTTTAATTAAAATTGACTACCCAGATAAATTCCTTGATTAAAGCTAGGTCTTTTTTTAACTTTCATATATGGAATAGATTCTGAGTAAATCTCAAAAAGACAAAATGTTCCAAAATCAGAAATTAATTTTGGAAAAATGTATAATTCAAATATCTTTAAATTATATAAAATCAGATTTTTACATTATTATACTAATTTGAAAACTGCTATAAATAGTAAATAAGCTAAATTATTTAAAGAAGAATATGTTCAAAAATATGAAAGTTTAATTAATTTCATTTAAAACAATAAACATTAATAGTCATATAAAGATCAAAGTAGTATTAAATTAAAATTGATTGATGAATTTATTAACTAAGTTAAAATTATATTTAGATAAGAATATAATTGAGAATTTGGAGTTTTAAATAACTTATTTCAATCAATAAATATTATTGTTAAAGTTGAGAACTCCACACACACCTACTGTAAATTACTAGAAATTCTGCATGTTATAGATTAACATGAATGCTAAAATTGATCTTGTATTCATATTTATAAATAAACATATAATGCTAATTAATTAAAATTCATGTGCCATTTTTCAATAAATTAAAATTTCAAGAAAAGGACTTTTTTTCACTCAATGTGAAAGAATAATAAGAGTATATACAGTAACAATGGCACCAGTTTTACAAACATTTCACATCAATTAAATATTCCTGTATTAACTGTTCATGATACTATTAAACAATACAAGAAGTTAGGATCTCCACAACCTAAGAAATATTCTGAAAAACCAAAAGAATTTACTGAATATAATGAACAAGTTTATACCTTGGGTAATATAACAAACTAACTTAATAATAAACTTAATATCCATTTCCATGCAACAACTGTCTGTATATATTTACATAATTCTGGGATTAGCAGTCATATTCAAAGTTTTGAATAAGTATTAAAGCTTGCAAGTGCAATGAGCTGAGCTGAATCAAAACAAATCAAACCTAGTATTATAAGCTCATAAACTCATGAGCTAAAAATTCACAAGTTAAGCCTAACTAAGGCTTGGCTTGTAAAGCTTTGTGTTTTATAACTTTTAGACACATTAAATTAAGTCTGTTGCATAAATTTTCTGATAGAATTATATTATTTAATAAATATTCAATTAGTGACATAGTATCTAGTTGATTATATATCTAAACTTCTTTGTCTGTAGCACTTTTCCATGTTAGTATTCTACAAATGTTTTTCACTTTCTCTTCTATTAATTTTTTTTGATATTGTTTTTTACCATTTGATGACATCCAAATTTCCAATATTCTCACATTTATTTTTCTTTATTGCATTTATTTCTTCTCCCATGAATTTAATAGATCTTTCTTTGTTTTTAGGTATGTAATTTATACAAATAAGATGGGATTTCTCAGCATTAATTTGTGTACCTGTTATTGTGAGAATTCTTCTACTGTTTTTAATATCTTTTCCATTTGCTTTTATCTTGAGATATGTATAAGGTATCATCCATATATGCAAATGCATTTATCTTATATTTGAATCTCTTTTCTTCATGTATTCTCATATCACCATATTGTATTTTTTCCATGTAATAACCTTCTGCCTGACTTTGAATTTGTGTTAATAAAGGATCATAATATATTCTCCATAATAGAGGTGATAGCACATCTCCTTGTTCTATTCCTAGATTAGAATTAAATGCTTTTGTCAACCTATAATAAGTTATTATTTTATTGGTTTTATTTTTTAGTAGTTTATCTATTATTACTATAATTTCTTCTGGAATTTTTATTCTTTTCATACTTTTTTTTAACATTTCTATATTTACTGAATCAAAAGCTTTTGATATATCCTGTGATAAGATCCATATTTCTTTTAGCTTCCTCTATACAATTGTTCAATATATGTATAGGACCTTGTATTGATCCCTCTGACAAACTTGTTCAGTTATTTTTATTTAGAATTGTGTTTTTTGTTAATATTGTACTGAGTCTATTATAAATTCCTTTTGTAAATATTTTTCTAGCTGTTTCTAGTAAGGTTATTGGTCTAGTATTCCATATATTCTTCTCCCAATTTTTGGGCTTAGCTATAGAGAATATATGTCCCTCTGATCATTCTTTTAGTATTTCTTTATTTTTTAAAATCTGATTATATATATCTGTGAGAAATTGTAGTACATTGTTATCTATATTTTCCATAGTTCATTGGTAATTGTAGATGGGCCTGCTACCTTTTTGTTTGGTAATTTCTAATAATTCCTTCAATTTTTTCTACTGTGAATTTTTTTTTTAATGGTAGGTACCATTTCTCTTGTATTTCATTGTTTTGATTATAAATTTGTTTTCACACTTGATTTTGATCTACTAAATACATTTTTAACTTCTTGTTTTATTTCTTCTGGATCTGTTAATACTTCAACTTGTTTATTGGTTATTCTAATTAAACTATCTGTTGATATTCTAGATCTTTCTTTATTTAGGAGACTTTGAATGACTATTTTTTTATTGTTTTGGAAGTTTTTATTTCTTTTGATAATCTGTTCTTTAATTTTTTTATAATTTGCATCTTTTATTTCTGCATCAAAAACTTTGTGTAGAGTATAGTACATTCTTTTGACTTCTTTCAACCAATTTTTACACTGGTCAAAAATTGATAAAACATACACATATCAGGTACCTGATATGTGCATGGTGTGTCCCTAATATCGGGCATATATCGGGTACTCAATAAGTGTAGAAAATATTTTATATATATATCAGTTCCCAATAAGTGTAAAAAAATATTTTCTACACTTATCGAGTACCCGATATTACTAGTTGACCTTTTGAACTAATTTTATCTTCCAAAAGGTAATTTACAACTAGCAACTCGTAAACAGTTACTTTAGTTTACGAATTGAAGAGGATAATTGATGAAGAATAAAAGAAA